GGTTCCCTCCTGTGGCTGAGGGGGAGGACGACGAAGCCACTGGCGAAACTCGCCACAGAGGAGCCCAGTAAAGAACTGGGGCGAAATAGGCAGGAACTGGGACAGCTGAGGGCAGAGCTCACCTGGAGCGGCGGCGGGAGCTGTACCGATACCCCCGGTCAGGAGAATAGGATCTGGAGCGACGCCGGCTGTCCCGCGAGCCCCCTCCCGAGTAGCGGCGGCTGCGGCTGCGGGAGCGTGAGTACCGGCGGCTGTGGGAGCGGCAGTAGCGGCTAGAGCGGTGGTAGCCACCGCCTCGGTGTGAGCGGGAGCTGGAGCGGGAGCTGGAGGATGAGGAGGAGGATGGGGAGGTGGAAGAGGACGAAGAGCGTCTCCTAGAAGGGACACATGGGACGAGGTGTTGGTGCCTGGGACGAGCGAGGAGGAGCGGGGACCTTCATTGCTCCCAGCACCAGGCAGTGCTGCATGTCACGGGTACAGCTGGACCTGGCAGACAGCCCATGGGTTGAGCTGTGAGCAGGCACCTCTCCCCCACCCCACGCCGGTGTCGAGCCTCCAGGCACAGCAGGGAACAGCCCCAGAACTGCTCAGCCCTCTGCCAAGGGGCTCCGAGCCCCCTGGACCCCCAGCTGTGCCGGGAAAGGAGCTGCGATGGCCACCCTAATTCCCTCCCTGAGCTCTCCAGGAGCTGGCAGACACTCTTTCTTTTACAGCAGGAGGTGGCTTGGCTCACACTCAAATTCCAGCCCCCCCCGCTCCAAGCCCAGCCATCTCCAGGAAGACCCAGAGATGCCATGAAGATCCTTTTGAAGCTGGCAAGCCCTGCCCTGGCACCGCAGCAGAACCAGGGCAGGCACACGGCCTGCATGGTTACGTGACAGAGAACCCACCCGCTCTCTCCCACTGTGTTCCCCCCTCCGCTCCTCGAGTGGTGCCAGCAGCCACGCCATGGCGTCGGGAGCATCCCTTGCCAGTGTCTCCATGCTGGGCCGGCCTGGCTCTGTGCCTGTGAGGGGCCGGCAAGCTCGCCTGGCCCACCGCCACCGCGCCTCTGCGGGTAAGGGTTGGGAAAGCGAGCTGGATGGGAGAGTTACCGACCGGGACGAGGTGCTATGACCTGCCGCAGTGCTGCCTGGCTGCCCCGGGGTGGAACGCTGTTTCCCGAGCGTGGCGGCTTTTCCGGAGATGCCACCGGCTTGCGCGGATGCCGCTGCCGCTTCCTCATCACTGCCGCCGAAGCTGGTGATGAAGGTGATCTTTTCCTCATGGCCGGGAGATGGGGTGCGGGAACGGGAGCGGGACTCGGAGGTGGACTCCGAGGGGGAGCTGTGAGGTGGCGAGGAGGAATGCAGCTTCAGTTGCCGAAAAACTCTCTCCCAAAAGCCAGCGGGTGCCAGGTTCCCTGCAGGAAGGGGATGTTCCCAGCCTGGAGAACCTGCTTGTCCCAGGACCGTGGCCACTCACCGTTTGTAGGGATCGTAGGTGGGACTGTCTCTCCGTGCATAGCTGCGAAAGGAGAGGACGTTAGAAAGGAGGTACCAGTGGGACATCACCAGAGGCCAGAGCTGCTGGGACCCCATGCAAGCTGGCACGGGCAAGGATGATGCCTGGGATGGATATGAACAGACCAGGGCTGTTGCGGAGCTCCGGGAGCCCCGGTCTCGGCTGCCAGGCCAGGAAACTCACCTGGGCGGGCTGATCTTCCTCCCTTTCAAGCGTTTCTCCCTGAACTCCCTCCTTTGGCGGCGAGAACGACGGCCCTAGGAGAGCAGCCTGAGCTAAGAGATGGCACCAAACCTGGGGGAAGCTGTCTTGGGAGTTTGTGGGCCCCCCTTGGGAGGCAGAGGTGGTTCCATGAGCGGGGAGGGGCACCGACAGGACACAGCCTGCTGCCCCGGGAGGCTCACGGCCAGCTAAGGCTTGCAGCAGGACAGGGCAGAGCTTGCCGGAGCTCCCCTTACCGAGTACATCGCCTTTTCTTCTTCCAGGGCTTTAGCATTTTTAATAGCTTCTGCCTCTTCTTTGTCCTTCCGCAACATCCTTTTCCCCCCCCCAAAAAAGAGAAACCCTCAGTAAGAGCCCACTGGCCACCACCGTTCTCAGGGGAGACTTTTTGGGGGCCCCCCATCCTAGAGACAGGCACATCCACAAACGATTCAGCCTCTGGTGAGAAGGGAAGGCCCTGGTGAGGCTCCACTGGGTTCCCAGTGCTTTCCCTGTCTGTCCCAGCTGCCAGCCATACCTGACAAAGTCCCCGTCTGCCATGCCGTATGTGGTCGCCTGCTTGTTCAGGTCGGCCACCTGCTCCTGGTTCAGCTCATCCACATCCACTTCCACATCTGCGGGCAGAGCACAGGCAGCTCAGCGCACCCCAAGAGGCAAGGCAGTGCTCAGCACA